CCGCCCCCTCTCTCTCAGTAAATAAAAAATTTTAAAAAGTGAACTAATGAATATATCATTTATGTAGTGACAAGATTCATGAAATGGTTTTTACCCATGTGTTGTGTGTTACTGTTTATTTTATTTTAAAAAGACACAACTTGACTCATTAAATTGATTTCACAATCCACTAACTGGTTGCATTGCATAGTTTGAAAAATCCTGTGTTGTAGGATCATGAGTATAAAGCCAGACTTGAGTTTAGATTCTAGTTCTGCTTAAGTAACTATGTGACATTGAATTTCTTACTTGGCCTCTTATAAGCTTCAATTTTTTCCTTTGTAAAATGGAAACATTAATAGCATTTACTTCCTAGAATTGTAAGAATGAAAAGATATGATGCCATGCCCTGGCTAGTGTCCTCGGTGGTTATTAGAGCATTGGCCCACACCCCAAAGAGTAGTGGGTTTGATTCCTGGTCAAGGACACATACCTGGGTTGCAGGTTCGATCCCCAGCCCCAGTGGGGGCGCATGGGGGAGGCAGCCAATCAATGTGTGTCTCTCACATTAATGTTTCTCTCTCGTGCTCGCTCTCTCCCCCTTCCTCTTCCTCCTCCCCTCCCTCTCTTCCACTCTCTAAAAATCTATGAAATAAAACATCCTCTAGAGAGGATTAACAAAAAATAAAATAAAAAAAGAAAAAAGATATGATGCCTGATAAGCACTCAGAAACACACTGAGCACATAGTAACAGGATTGTTAAATCCTGTGAATAAGTAATCACTGTGTGAACTGATGGAAAGATGTTCAAAGTGTATAATGAAAAGCAAAGATACAACTCAGTGTATTAATTTCCATTGCATCATATGTGTCTGTATACACATGCACAGTGTAACCTGGAACAGGTTTATATTTACTTTAAATTTCTGGATTGTTTAAAGTTTCATATAACTGTGTAAATGCATTTTTGTAAAACTAGCTTTAAAAAGTTATTGACATTAAAGTGAGGTCTTCATATGTTAAATGAGTATCAATTTTTTACAGGAACAGTGTAATTTTTAAATGATAAAAGTAAGAAAGTACCTTATAAAATGAAAGAATATACAAATTTTAGTTATTCAGAGGTGTGCTATTATAATAGCGTAAAAATGTAATACAATTATAAAAAATTGCTTAAACTGTAGTAAATACAACTTGTCTATTTTCTGTACCTGAGTAGTTTATTGTGCTAATAAATATACTAGATTTGACAATACAGATGCTAATATAAATTTCAGAGCAAGGCATTTGAAATACTTTTAGTTGAGTTTTTATTATCATAGAACAAATCTAATAGTATGTTATTAAATAATACATTTAAGTTATTTTGCTTAAATTGGTCTGTTATTTTTAACCTTTTGAAGGTAATCAAATTGTTGTTTTGGCAAGTTAAACCAAGACAACAATTTAATTACCTTCAAAAGGTTAAAAATGACAGACCAATACACAATAATAGTTATGTCATAGAATTTTCAGGGACAGAATTAAATAATAGGGACATTTTATGATGGAAATTATGTAGAAAATCTAAGGGAACTGTATTAAGCATCCATGTTTCCATGCTAATATTTTGTTGTTTGGTTATAGGAAACGTCCTGATCAGACATGGGTTCAGTGTGATTCCTGTCTAAAGTGGCGAAAATTACCAGATGGGATAGACCAACTTCCAGAAAAATGGTATTGCTCCAATAACCCTGACCCACAGTTCAGGTACCATATAGTTAGTAGTATCCTTTTGGGAAAAGAGGAAATACTGTTGAAGATATATGAATAGGCACTGGTGACCTGTTCTTCCCATGTGATTTTTCTGACTAGAAATTGTGATGTTCCAGAAGAACCTGAAGATGAGGATTTGGTGCATCCCACTTATGAAAAAACCTACAAAAAGAAGTGAGTGTTGTACTAAAGTGTAGTGGGAAAAGAATCACTGCCCAAATCCTCAACAGTGATGTGTGTGCAGTGTTCGCTGATGCTTCTCCAAGATAGAGCTAGTACAGTTCACCTTTGAACAGCTTGGGAGTTAGGGGCGCTCACCAACCCCTGCTCCCCACTCTCCTCTCCAGTCAAAAATCCACCTGTAACTTAAGGTGACCCTCTGCTTAGTGTGTGGTTGGTTGAATCTGCAGGTGCGAAACCCAGGGAGAGGGAGGTCTAACTGTTCATTGAAAAAAAGTCCATGTATAGGAGCACCCACACAGTGAGGCCCATGTGGTTCAAGGGTTGACTGTACAGCTGAAAAGATTATGACTCAAAAAGAGATTCTTATGGGGGGTGCCTAATAGCAGGTGCTTTTTAAAAAAAGTTTGCTGTGGATACCTGCTCTTTTTTACCTGCTGTTTATACGACCTTATACAAGAGCAGGTGTGGGTGCCTGCTCTTTTTTCACTTGTGTGCAAGATAGTTCGCATACAGAATAGTTTGTCTTTTGGGACCACACACACACATGCATCATAAGTGAATACGGCCCTTAGGAGCTTACAGACTAACACGGAAGGCGAGATGTATGTATTACCACTTAGAAGTTGACAAGTACCATACAAGGCCCAGCCCAGTCCTGTTGGGAAGCTGAGGAGAGATTACTCTGGCCCGGAATGGCGAGGTTAAAATGGGCCGTGACGGACAGTTTTGTGATAGGTTTGGAAGGGAGGATGAGACTCTCCTGGGAACAGTGATCGGTTCGGCATAACTAGAGCAGATGTGCGAGTGGGGGTAGTGGAAAGCGGAGATGGGCTGGAGGAGCTGGGAAATGAGGGATGGTCGTCAGCCTTGGGGAACGTTAGGCTGATATGCTGCACATAGGAGACTGAGTTCACTAAGAACATCCAGGGAGTTTTGATTTATAGTGCACTGTTTTTTTCAAGGTAAATCCAGCAGGATTAGAAGTAGACAAACCAGTTAGAAGCCTGTGTGGTATTTCGATTCAAAGGCCTGAAAACAATGGGGGTGGAAAGCTTGAGGCCTTAGGGTGTTACGAAGATAAGAGGTGGAAAGTATTCCCTGCCTAAGGGCTTACCACTGATTAAAGGGTACACATCTGAGTGACTGGGTGAAATGGCAAGTATCATTGCAAGACAGAATTGAAAATAATAAGTAAATTTAAATGTGTTTTCATCTTTTTTTTTTTTTTTTTTTTAAGAGACAGGGAAAAATTCAGATTCAGACAACTGGACAGGATCCCTCAGGTAATTAATTAATTAATTAAACAAATATTTTTAAAGCTTAGGAGTTGCATAACAAATTGAAGTAATCTTGTTCATTCAGTTTACGTATTTCCCTCCTTGCTCTCCTTCCCAACCCTGGCTTCTTAACCCAACAACTTTATTCAAACTGTTCAGTTTTATTATTTAGTTGGGCATCTCCTGAGGAAAGGCAGACATTCTTTTAAGAACCCTGTTGCTAGGCAGTCAAGGAAAAGTTCACAGGAACACCCAGGGAGCCATGTTCTAGTACTAGCCTGGATTGAAGCTGTGGTGTTTTCTTTCTCTTTGTGGACCACTTTCCCTGGCCCTTTTCTTTCTTTCTTAATGCTTAATGGTGTTAAGGAACCTTTTCTGAGTATATGACTCGGTGGTCATACTTGTGTGAGAAGTTTTGGTCTGCTGCAGATGTGTGTTTGCTTATAATTACATTGACAGTTTTCTTATATAAAGGCTTAGGGTTTGGGGTGTGAACAGAACTGGGGGGAAAAGAATAGTGGGCTTGCTTTGGTTTTTAAAGGCAGTATCTTTCTCTTTATTTCTTTTAGAAAAATAAGCTTTTATTGTATCTTGGTAAGTTCTCTATATAGTACAGGGCCAGCAAGCCTTTTCTGTAAACATTTTAGACTTTGGGGACCACATAAAATCTCCGTTGCATATTTTTTGTTTGTTTTGTCGTTTTGTTCACACCTTAAACAATGTATAACCATTAGCTCACTTGTAGGATGGATGTAGCTCACTTGTAGGATGGATGTAGCTCATTGGCCTATTGTATTTTGCTCCCTGGTGTAGGGTAGGATAATTCTCAACATCTTCTGGGATCAGAGGAAAAGGGAAAATAATGTCTTGTGTTTTGGGCCTTTCACATTAAAAAAATTCCTTTAAGATCATTTCCCCCCCCCAACAGATTAATACTGAACTGTTGTTTCGGACAACCTCTGTGTCAAGTCGAAGCTTTTCTCCTGTAAAGGACAGTGTTCCAAGAAGACACCCTTCAGAACCAGCAGATCCTTATGCAGCAAGACTTGTAAATAATCATCGAGGTTCACCTCAGTCTGAACCAGAGGGCAACAGGTCAGTGGCAAAAATGTGGTCTTCCATTTGGGGAATGAATATTAAACAGAGCCTTTACTTGGCACTTGTATGGCAATAATGCACTTGTAAGAAATTGTCGTTTATGTGCATGTAAAAAGTCTTTAAGGACAAGTGACTGCTTATGTTGTCTATACTTACTCCACCCCACTTATGCCACCTATTTAAATCAATTAAAAAATATTAATTGTAATGTGGAATTTGATCAAATTGTCACCTCTTTGAGATTCTCTATAGTATGAAAATTTCTGTTGTTTTTTTTTTAATTCCTTACCCAAGAATATGTTTTTTTTGTTTTTTGTAAGAGAGAGAGAGAAACATCTGTGTGTGAGAGAAACATCAATTGGTTGCCTCCTGTATGTGCCCTGACCGGTGCACCGGTGATCGGACCCACTGCCTAGGTATGTGCCCTGACCAGGAATTGAATGTGCAACCTTTTGGTGCATGGGACAATGCTCTAACCAACTGAGCCACACTGGCCAGGGCAATTTCTGCTTTTAAGATTATCCATATTTAATTAAATATAAACATAAAAAGGGCAATTTCTGCTTTTAAGATTATCCATATTTAATTAAATATAAACAAAATAATGAACAGTACAACATTATAATGTCAAGTGTGACCCATACCTTTTTAGCATAGCCTGTGACACACTATATTTTGGATGAGTGGTTGGNTAATGAACAATACAACATTATAATGTCAAGTGTGACCCATACCTTTTTAGCATAGCCTGTGACACACTATATTTTGGATGAGTGGTTGGAGAAAGAAGAGAAAGAAAGGTATGAGCAATAGTGGATTGAACAGTTAGCTCTCTTGTCTGAAGTGATCAGGGAAGGCTTCGTCATGAAGTGGCACTTTTTTAGGCTGGTTCCTAAAATCCTGAAAGCAGTACTCTGCACATGTGGCCCATTCAAAGGGAACAGAATGAACACAAGTGAGAAGAGGAAAGAGCATACGGCCAGTGAACTGGTGGATCAGACTGACTACACCTGATGTTTATTGTTGAAAGAGAAACACTGGAGCAAGGTTCTCTGAGATAGTGAAGCCAGATTTTCAGAGAGGTTTTGTAGCCTTCATCAGATTCTCCAAGGGATTTTTGACCTTGGGAAAGATGAAAAACAACTGCCTTTATGCATGTGTACATCAAGGAGGACAGGTTCAAAAATAGTTTGCTGTTTATAGCCCACATTTGGGGGACTTGTTTTGTGGCTATACTGCTACTTAACTAAAAACTTGTGTGATTGTTTTTAAACCAGTCTCCTTCATATTCTTGGTTTTTCTTCTTAAAGATGGTTCTAGACAAAGTAAGAAAAAGAAAAGTCTGTAAAGTTTACACAGAAAAACTGATGGAATTTATTTTTTAGAGTGACTGTCATCAAAATGGAAGAGGAATATAGAGAAAATTTTCATTAAATTTTAAAGCCTATATTTATTTTCAGATTTATAGAGCCAAAGTCTTTGGAAAGACTTACCTAAAATAAGTCTTGACAATGACAAATTTGGAATAAGCTTGGTAAGAAAAATAGTAGGGCAACTCCCAATTGACTGGCTAACTCCAGAAATCTCTAGACAGACTCAGAACTTGAAAGCACCAGGTACTTCTGAAGGTGGGAAATAGGGCTGAGAACAGGAGGATTGTTTGAACGTTTAAGAAGGAGCAGCTTCCTGATCTTCTTAACTTGCAAAGTCTGGCAACACTGCTTCTCTTCCTGTGTCAGAAGGTGGGAAGTTTACCTTCTGGAGAGTTTTTACTGTTGGGAGATGTCTGTGAGCCACTGTTTTGAAACAGGAGTAAGTGAAAGTCTGAATACTGGATGGTGAGAAATCCCTCTCCCTTCTTCCCCTCACTGGGTTCCCAAGATAAAAGCCCTTGATGGTGAGAGTTTGAGTGTCCTTAAATCACAAGCCCAGCCTTCACTCTGAAATAGAAAGAGATGGCCAAGAATCACCATGCACAAACTGAAGAAACCATGTGACATTTACTGGGGGGTGCATAGATGTTGGACAAATAAGTCTCTTAGAAAGGAAAGATAAACAGTTGGAAGGTATTAAAAAGAAGAAACAAAGTACAGGAAGGTCAACGTCTGAATTAAGGGGATTTTAGAATAAGGGGAGGAAATACTGGAAGAAAGACTTAACTTCCACTATATATGCAGTGTAATGTCTGAGGAAAGCTCCATTCTGAGTAACATTGTGAAATATTAGAACACCAGGAAACAGCTGTTTTTAGAGGAAAACACACCTGTGTGCAGAAGGCCAGGGATGAGAATGGCAGAAAACCTGAGTGGTAGATGGAAATGGGGTGATGCTTTTAAAATTTTGAGAAAGTAACTTTCAACCTGAAAGTATGTATAAAACCAGTAAACTAGAAGTAAATAAAGATATTTTCATCGTGCAAAATTTTACATTTTTTATGTCCTGTTGTGCTTTCTCAATTTTATTAGAGATTGTGCCCCCTTGATAGGAAAGAGTAAACCCAACAAAGGAAAATCATTTTAAAAATTTTTTTAATCCTTTCCCAAGGATATGTTTTTTGTTTTGTTTTGTTTTTTTATTTTAGAGAGAGAGAGAAAGATTGATGAGAGAGAGAAACATTGAGCAGTTGCCTGTCAAATGCACCCTGACTGGGAATCGAACCCGCAGCCTTTTGGTGCACAGGACAGTGCTCCGACTGAGCCACCCGCCTGGGGCGGAAAATCTTTTTTTTTAAAATATATCTTTATTGATTTCAGAGAGAGGAAAGGAGAGGGAGAGAGAGAGATAGAAACATCAATGATGAGAGAGGCATTGATCGAGCCCACAACCCGGGCATGTGCCCTGACCGGGAATCGAACCCCGATCGCCTGGATCCTAGGTCGATGCTCAACCGCTGAGCCACGCCCGGCTGGGCTGGGGTGAAAAATCTTAAATCAAGGAAACCTGAGGTCTAACACAGAAGGCTCAAATAGCAGAGCAGTACAAATGTCCCTCTAAGTGGGGCCAAATGTAATAAATGGTGATAAATTCACAGAAAAATAAGCAAATGAAGAAAAGGAGGCAATTTTTAATGCAGGGACTATGAACGATAGGGCGTGCTGGTTTACTTAGTGGCTCACTTGATCACTGAATGTTGATACAAATCATGATGGGCAAATGGGAATGGCAGTGTCACTCACTGAGCTCTAGAATATAAAGGGTGGGCCTCTGGTGGGTGGTGGCATTCTGGTTTGGACACAGGGACATTGAAATTCCGAGGACAGCAAATGATGAGATGTTTGGCAACATACAGACCTGATACTCTGAGGACACCCAATGATCTGTTTCCTCACCTGTAGAGAGGCAAAGTACTCTACTCCGCAACTCATCGGGCAGTACTGTGGGATAATCTGTCAGTATTCTAAAAAACAGGCATGAGTATTTCTTCATGTTTTAAGGTAGAGTACTTCAAGGTCGCCTATTTCACATCTATATTTCATAATCTTAATTTATATATAAATTGTTTTCCAGCATGAAACGAAGACTTCCTATTCGTTCCTCAATTTTGAATGCAAAGACTCGGAGATTGAGTAATCAAGCATTTGAAAACCCAGCTTACAAAGAGGATGATGACGTCATCATCTTAGAAGAAACCAGTACTCCCAAGCCGCATGATGTTGAGGTGAAATCAGAACAGAGTCACATCGAACAAAGCGGTGTTCAGGACGAGCCTGTGGATAACAGTGAACCTTATGGCCAGAGTAGTTCAACAGGTACCTTGTCATCCACATGTGATCAGGCAACTGGTGTGGCCACCCAGACTGAAGTGCCAGGCTTAGTTGTTAAAAAGGAAGAAACTATTGAAGATGACATGAGTGCAAGAAACAGTACAGCGGTACCACCATCCTGTGTGGAAGCTGAAGCAATGACACATGAAACCCAGGAAACCTTTGATAAATCTGTGGATGATGCGGGGTCCGAGTTAAATGAACTGAGAAATAAGCTACTTCTGGTTACCCAAGAAAAAGAAGATTATAAAAGACAATGTCACATGTTTACTGACCAAATCAGACTGTTGAAACAGAGGATACTGGAAATGAGTGACAAATACGTGAAGAAGGAAACTTGCCATCAATCTACCGAAACCGATGCTGTGTATTTACTTGAAAGTATTAATGGCAAATCTGAAAGTCCAGACCACGTGGTATCTCAGTATCGGCAAGCTCTGGAAGAAATAGAAAGGCTGAAAAAACAGTGTAGTGCTTTGCAACATGTAAAGGCTGAATGTAGTCAGTGTTCCAATAATGAGAGTAAAAGTGAAATGGATGAAATGGTTGTGCAACTTGATGATGTATTTAGACAGCTGGACAAATGCACTGTTGAGAGGGACCAGTATAAAAGCGAGGTGAGTTATCATTCAGCATCCTGGTAGTCATGGGAACCCAGGGGCATTTAAACCTGAAAGAACTGCCAGTTGCTAGATTGGAATTAATTACTTAGTACATATTTCATTTATTGACTGACTGTTACTCCACTGGTTCTCAACTGGGGATTGGTCCTCTTGGGGCATATGGAAATGCATAGGGGTAGTTTTGGTTCTTAAACTGTCTTGAGATAGATGAGCATTGCTGGAATTGAATGGGTGGTGACTGGGTCTGATCGATGTCCTCTAGGACACTGCTTTGTTGCTTTGCTTCACAACGTGCATTTATGGTCTAAAATGGCTTTTCAGGCCCAGCTGTCCTGTATTTAACATTCCAAGCAGCAGGAAAGAAGATGCGGTTCCTCAAAGTTACTGTTGGGACTTAAGTCACCTGGCTGATGGGTGCCTTGGAACTGTAGTCGTTACTCCGGGGTTCTTTTACTGAGGAAGAAGGAGATTTAGATATCAGGGGATAAGTGGTACCCTCTGCATGTGCCCCCGATTCTAATTTGGGTTACTCCTTTTTATTTTAGTAGGTTTTTGTTTTTAACTTCAGAGAGAGGAAGGGGGAGAGAGAGAAACATCAGTGATGAGTCATTAATAGTCTGCCTTCTGCATGCCCCCTACTGGGGATCAGGCCTGAAACCCCGGGCATGTGCTCTGACTGGGAATTGAACCATGATCTCCTAGTTCGAGTAAGTCGACACTGAACCACTGAGCCACGTTTGCTGGGCAGATAGCTCCTTTTTTAAGAAAATCTGTTTTATGTATCATATTTACATGGTATTTGAAAGGAGAGTTTCTCTGCTAAAAAGAGTTTGGAAACAATAGTACTGCCCATTCCTGGAAATAACTGCTAATATAACTGCTCAGTCAGATTTTCATCTTCATGTGTTACTGGCTTAAGAGCTGTGACAAAAAGTACCAAATCAGTCTAAGCTTTGTGTTGTAACTTAGAGCTGCTGAGTGTGCAAGAAAAGAAAGCCACTGTGACATCAACATTATTTAGGCATTTTTATCTTGGTTTTCCAATTTTTAGGTACCATTTGTATTCAGTCAAGTCGTAATTGACATTTTGTATCCTTTCAATGTAAAAAGATGGACAGGTGAGCCCAGCCGGGCGTGGTTCAGCAGTTGAGCATCGACCTAGGATCCAGGCAATCGGGGTTTGATTCCCAATCAGGGCACATGCCCGGGTTGCTGGCTCATTCCCCAGTTGGGGGCGTGCAGGAGGCAGCCGATCAATGACTCTCTCATCGTTGATGTTTCTACCTCTCTCCCTCTCCTTTCCTCTCTTTGAAATCAATAAAGATATATTAAAAAAAAAAAAAGATGGACAGGTGAAACTAAACAAACAAAGCTTTGTTCATAGAAAGCTATTGGGGGTTTTGTCTAATGTGGGTTTTTTTCTTTTTTTGTAATTTTCATCAACCTGGTTTTCTACATTTCTTAGCTTAAATTTGTACTTTGATATTAGTATTTTTTAAATTTTACAGTTAATCTAATTTTTTTGTCAGGTTGAATTATTGAAAATGGAGAAATCACAAATTCGTTCACAGTGTGAAGAACTGAAAACTGAAATTGAACAATTAAAATCTGCAAATCAACAGAAAGGAACAGATGTTTCAACTTCAAGTAACCTTGAGGAGTCCGTAAATTATGCTGATGGGGAAAGGTAATTTAAATTGAGGCATTTTGCTGTGGCTACAGTTCTGGTTAGTGAGCTACTTATTTGCTAGCACACATCTAACAGATACTCTGTCCAAAGCAGTTATTGACTGCTGTGGTCCCAACATTATGGGAGACAGAGAGAGAGAAAAAAGTACATGTTACCCTTCCCTTCAAGAAACTAGCAGTTTAGGTTCAACTTAAGAGAAATAGGAATTTCAAAGAACTAAAGCACTTGATTGGTCAGAGTGGTTTGGAATGCTTGATTTCTTTTACTTTTGTGTTTAGCACCATTCCTTTGTGGTTTGCTATCATTTTACTACTATGTCCCCTCCCCCATCTTAACTTTTAGGAAATCCCAAAGTCACTAAAAATTGCCAGAGTGCAGTTGATTATTAGGAAGAAGATCTGTGAAAATAAGAAAACAGCAAATGCATGATTACCCTATCTCAGTAAGATACAAAGTGGAATTGTGTTTCCATTTTGATTTGTTTTGTTTTTGAGGGTGGAGAAAAGTTCAGGTGGGAGTGGATGACAGTGTTGGTGCTGTGTTGATGGCTTACCATTCATAAATAGACATTAAGGGCTAAAATTGTGCAGCTCTTTCTGCTAAAATGATAGGACTTCAGCTCTAAAAGGTACTGTTGAGAGAGAATCTCCTGCCATCCTCCCTTGACCATCAGTTATATTATTGTTTTGTTTTTTGACTTAAGGGTTTCTGAAGCATTTCACTAAATCTGTTCATGGAGATAGAAACAGTAGAGTCCTACATATAAGCAAGGAGGGAAAGGGGTCAGAAAAAAACTCCCAACTGGTGTTTCTAAAAATGGGAACCACAAGCATCTATGGTGCTCGTCGAAATGCAGACCCTTGGGCCACAGTGCAGTTTATTAAATCGGAAACTGAAACAGTCTCCCAGATGGTTCTCTTGCCCACTAACCTTTGAGTAATTGATGATCTTTTAGACATGCTTTCCAGAATAGCGTAACCACATATGGCTACCAACGCCTGAAATCTAACTATTCTGGACTGAGACACGCTTTAACTATAAAATACGTTCTACAGCTTGGAGTCCTAGTATGAAGATAAAAAGGATGTATGATATCTTAATAAAAATATTTTTTGATTATATGATGATATATTTTAGTGGCATGGGGTTAACTAAAATTTACTGTTTCATTTTACTTTTTGGTTGAACTATTTGAAAATTTTAAATTATGTATGGAGCTCACAATATTTCACTTGGACACTGCTGTTTTCAACACTAAAAATAGGAAGTCTGTGACATGTCTGGTAGATGGGAGGAATTAGCCAGGGACAATCAAAGACTTAAAGGATGGATAAGAGGGTTCTAGAGTCACACTAGTCTTTTGTCTGCTTTTCATGTAGATAAAAGATTATGGTTATGAGAAAGGGAATATTCTTGGAAGGACATAGCATGGTTAATAATTTCTGCAAAGCAAACCAGAAATGTTTTGGACCATGGGCCTCTGATGGAAGTGAATGGGAAAGCTTGGACAAAAAACGGCTGGCATGAGACATGAAATTTTATCAGAAGTTCAATGGAATCTTATCATGCAGGCCAACAAAAAGATGTTTAAAATTACATGCATTTTTGTGTACTATTAACCCAAGATGAGCATCTTGCCCCTTCAGAGATCTCCACCCTAGAAAGATCACTATCTGTAAACTAAATGTGGACTTATGTCTGAGGTTGCAGAACCATCTGCAGCATTCTCTTGATCCATGTATTTCACTCAGTCCTTGAAGCTAAGGATGCTCTATAGCTGTAGGTATTTAAAGTCTAAAATGCTGATACTCCGATACATGTATATGAACTTGGAAGGAATGATAATGATGACCTAATCCAGGATTTCTCAATGTTTTCAGCAAAACACTTCCCTATAAATGCATTTAAAAAATGGATAGTCAGTGAACTTTAGCATGAAGTCTTGCATTTTAAAAAGTCTTAACATTATTTAATCCAATGTTTTATAAGCGTATTTGACCACAGAACCATTTTTTTTCCTCTTATACAGCAGTGGGCATCTCATAGAGCATGTTTTAGGGAACAAACCAATTTATTTTCCTCAAAGGGAGCTGAAATTCAGAGATGCGTTCTTCTTCTTAGACCCGTATTCTCACTAGTATGTCACTACTGTTTTCTAGGTGACAACAATATTTTAAATTGTAGATAACATAATTTATATATTTTACCAGTCCATGTTTTCTCCAGTCTCAAATCAGAATTGTATCATTTGATACCCTGGCTGGTGTGGCTCAGTTGGTTGAGCGTCTTCCAGTGTACCCAAGTGTCACTGGTTCGATTCCCAGTCAGGTTTCAGGTTTGATCCCCAGTCCAGGTGGGTGTGGCCAGTGTTTCTCTCTCACATGAATGTTTTTCTCTCCTTCTCCCTTCCTCTGTTTCTAAAATCAATTTTTAAAAATTGAAAAAAATAAAATTTAAAAGTTGTGTCAGTTGGAACCAAAGAGCCACTAGTGTTATAAAACACTACTGACCAACAGATACATAATAATTACGTAGAATTTTTGAATGATTAAATAGTGGATTAATGTTTCCCTTAAATATTAAGTCTTAATGAATATTAAGTTATAATGTTCATCTAATAAATGTAACATTTGTATTTGCAGCTTTAAACTTCGATCTCTCCGAGTTAACGTGGGACAGCTGCTGGCCATGATTGTACCTGACCTCGATCTTCAGCAAGTGAATTATGATGTTGATGTAGTTGATGAGATTTTAGGACAAGTTGTTGAACAAATGAGTGAAATCGGTAGTTCTTAAAGTATATTTTATGTGAAATAATAAAAATATTTGCTCAATCCTTTCTGTTGTACAGCTTTCAAAATGTAAACAGTTTTGTTCTATAGATATGATAGGTGACAGACTGAAGAACCATAATCCTTACTGTACCCTATGCATTCAGATGTGGCCACAAACAGGTCGACACACTATCACACCTTTTGAAATGCCCGTGAGTCGTTGATGTTGAGTGGCTTAATAATAGCTAACTCATGTTTCTGTTTTAAAATGTAAATACTTGTAATTAAGTCTGCACATATTTTTTTATTACCCTAGAGGATGTGTTTTTCACCAAGAGGTTTTCAGGTTGCCCCTAACCTTTGTGCAATCTTTTCTGGTTTCCCAAAGTGTATTTTTATCTGAAGCGTGAGGGCTGTGCCATACATAATATGAATGGAATTGCGACTTTGGTTTTCTTACAGAGAAGTTTAAACAGGCATTTGTAAAATATGAATTAACACTCCTGATAAGTTGTAAGCAAACTGAGCATTAATGTTTCTTTTCTATAAATGCTTATCTCCTGAAATATTTTATTCATGAAAATAAGGTAAGCAGAAATTCTCTTCATCCATTTTGCCAGGATATTTTCTGTGCTGAGATTGCCAATCATCGTTAAACAAAGTGTTTTTATACAACAAAGAAATGATCTTTAATATAAAAAAGTATCAAGTATATTAACTGTCTGATCATGTTTACTTTGAAGCCCATTTTTGGCTGCTTAGCATGGAGTGGGCACAATGATTGCTAATATTTCTTTTTATGAAATTTCCTGTATAGTCTTTTATAGGAAAACTACAGGATAATGTGAGTTGAGGAAGGCAGTCTTTCTCGAACAATACTGCATACCTTTTGCTATATTACAAACCTAAGTGTTTTATGCCCTGGAATTAAGCAACAAATTGCCCTAAGATTATAGTATTACATGCCATAAAAATTAATACTTTATTGGTCCCTTGTTTTGTGCAATTTTAAAGAGATGGCTTTCTATTAAGTTTAACTGTATATATAATTAATTTTCCACAATTAAAATGTGCATTATTTTTTTCAAAGTTTTATTATTGCTATTTATTTTTATTTCTGAACATTCAATACATGTTCTTTTTTTCTGTATGTATGTTTAATTACATGTCTGTCATATAGAATATAAAATTTTTACTGTACATTAAGTTCTGGAAAAAGCAAATAAATGAAGACTGTTTTATTTGCTCGATAAAGTAATTGAAAGTGTATTTTTGGTATGAAGCTGGTTTTCTGTCACAGTTGTATCTGCCCAAAATTTAAAATATCTTGTAATAAAATAAAAATATATATGATGGCTAACTCTTCAGATACTACTTTTAAAGAATTCTATATTCAAATTATATTTTGAAAACTAAAATTGTATTAAGAACCTAAAGTTGAGCTCATTTTACTATATTACAAGTTATATTTAGAAGACTAAGACTGTTTCTATTAATCTAAGACAGCTCATGTTGAGGGAGTGTGCATGTGTGCCTATATTTTACACTTGAGGGGAAACATTTTCTATATTAAATCATTTAGTGTAAAGAAACCTAGTCTAAATAATAGCAGCTATGTAGAGCAGGTCTAAGTTTGAATATTTATGTAGCCATTCTTTCCTGAATTTGCTATTTTTTCCTTCCTTTTGGTCACTTATATTCTTGCAAAAAATATGTATTTTATGGATGTTATCTGGCTTAATGGGCAAGTTAATCAGTATTAGTAAGAGAACCTTGTTTGCTAAATTGGCTCTGGAAGTATTTACATATTTTTCACCCTTTAAGAAAATACTGCAAGATACGGTTCTTTGAAAATATGGGTGACACATTTTTATTTTTTTATTTTTTTATTTTTTACTGCTCCAGTCAACAAAAGAGAAACTTCATTGAGGCCCCAGGGTCACAGGGTTCAGGCTGAAGGTCACCCTGTTGGGCTGAAGAGGTGGTGGAGGGGCCTTATTTCACCTTCTCTGGGCCCAGGTTGTTGGTGGCCGCACTTCTTGTGGCAGTTGATAGCACAGGGGTGCAGGGTGGGCATAGCACTTGCAGCAGTTCAGCTTGTCACAGCTGTACCGGGCGAGCTGGTTGGGGGAGGGCTTGATACTGCCACCCAGCCGAGGAGGCATCAAGTACAGGGCGGACTCTGGATATTGTAGTCAGAGTGCAGCCATCTTCCAGCTATTTACCCACAAGAATCAGACGCTGCGGTCCAGCAGGTTGCCCCCCTTGTCTTGGATTTTAGCTTTAACATTCTCAGTGGTATCACTGGGCTTGACCCAGTGACCACTGGTGTCAATGGTCTTGCCAATCAGGGCCTTCACAGAGATCTGCGTCTCTGTGTCTGCTGGGAAAGCTGCCTGGCTGCTTCGTTGAAGAAAAGATGTTAAGTTAGATTTGTAAAAGGCTAGTGTAGGAGGGCAGTGTTGCTTAAGTTAATTATTTTAAAAACAAAAACAGCATGAGTAAGTAAATTAGGATAGTACACAGTCCCAATAAACAGGACCCACTAAAGTCAGCTAAGGCTACAAAATCAGTAAAAGCTATGTGTTTACACAGTGGGGTGTCATATAGATGTGTCCATCACCTGGGCCCCATGTTCCGGATCTGCAGGTGCTGCTGACAACTCTGCACATGGCTTCAGACACTTGATTCTTGCTACCACACAGCCCATTAGATCATTAGTTGTTACTGAGGAATAATTACAGTGGTATATACTGGTGATCCTCACCACCAGTTGTGTATTAGTTTGTTTTTTTACCTTTTTTAAAATTTTTTTTATTTCAGGGAGAGGAATAGATAGGGAGAGAAATATCAGTGATGAGTCATTGATCAGCTGCCTCCTGCACGCCCCCCACTGGGGATGGAGCCCAAAACCCGGACGTGTGCCCTGATGGAAATGAAACCTCCATCTCCTAGATCCTAGGTCAATGCTCAACCACTGAGCCATGCTGGCTGGGCACAAGCTGCGTATTAGAATCACCTGGGGAGTCGTTTGTACTCCCAATGAGAGGATGCACCCCATACTAATTAAGTCAGAGTCTTTGGGATTGGACCAGATATCAGTATCAGTGTATTTTTAAAATAGATTTGGAGCTTTTTATTTTATTTATTTTAGGGGGGAAGAGAGAAATATCAGTGATGAGGAAGAATCATTGATTGGCTGCCTCCTGCACACCCCCTGCTGGGGATCAAGCCCAAAACCTGGACATGTGCCCTGATCAGGAATCCAACCGCAGTCTCCTGGATCCTAGGTCTGTGCTCAACTGCTGAGGCGTGCCGGTCAGGCAATATCAGTATTTTTTTAAGGACTCCCACTATGCCATCAGAACCATTCGTCTATACCTTACATTGAGGAACATTTACAAACATTGAACTCAGGTGGGTCCTGAAACAAAGGATCAGCATGGCCTTTCTCACCGGTGCGTAAGGAGGGGAAAGGGAGGCAGAGTCAGAACTGAAACACAAGAGTATAGAGTGAAAAGACTTCTCACCACCTCCCTAGGGGTAACTACCATTGTGTTTTGTGTGTCCTTCCAGCAAATACTAGTTGCATAATATATACACGTTCATATATATGTGTTGTTTATATCTATATATTTGTATCAAATTCACACAAGTGTCACACCATATATTTGGTAACATTTCCATGACTCTTGAGCAGCTTTAGTCACATTCTATGATAGGAATATGATATGTTCCTAATGCTCATTTCTTGTTTGACATTACCAAAAAGGTTACTATTGGAATTAATACACCTTATACACATTTTTAAAAAGTATATCCAGAGTGTAAGTCCCCTGCAGTGAATATTGATAGGCCAAAGAGTGTCTGCTATGTACATTTTAATAAAAGTTGCCACTCAAAAATGATTGCAAGAATTTATACTATGAAAAGTATTTGTTTCCTGGCTTTCTAGGAAGCTCACAGGTAACTGTCCATTTGGAAAATTATCCCATTTCAAAAGGCCTGCTGCATCTATTTCTGCCTTCTGACTTACTACCTCCCTTTAAATTTTTAAATTCTGTTTTTAAAAGTGTTTATAACCATATCAGTTAATTGACGTATAATGTAAGCAATCCAGGTACCAAACAATCCCATAGCTTTGGATTTTCCAAAATGTTCTAGAAGCCAATATGCAGGGTGTCCCCAAAAATGTATACACACTTTAACAGCTGATAGCTCAATTTTGAAAATGAAATGTATTTTAATAAACACTGCCTTTATAATTATTCAGAGTGTGTGTATACATTTTTGGGAGACACCCTATATAAAGGACAAATGGCAATATTTGACTGCAAAAGGAGAAAGAGACCTGGTTGATTTCAGTACCATGACATCCTGAGGAAAGGAGAGAGGAGGGGAACTGTGGGAAGTGGGAGAGCCACCTGGGGGAGGCTTTCTTCTGGGAGGCTGCACAGGATAGCACTCCTTTTGCAAAGTCCCTTGGCCTTGAAGGCCCAGAAACCTGCAGTTAGCACAAGGAGAGGGTCCATCTGTCAGGGTCAGTGTCATATCCACCAAGCTCCCAGACTAATGTATGCAACGAGGATTCCAGTTAATTTACAATGAAAATGAGAACTGCCTTGGAAATACATGTACCATTTGACCTGCTGGTTCCCTGTCCACAGGCTTCCCGGTCATTGCCCATCCATCCTTTCCCATCACGGGTCCCACTGCTCCCACTTTTGTGCTCTATTGCCAACTGTGAGTTTCTTTAGCTCGACTCCCCATTTCCCAGCGCTGTTTATCCCAAACTCTCATCACCTGAAGCCCACTTTAAATGCCCCCTTCCCTTCAAATTTCCTTCGAACCTTCACATCCAAAATAACCTTGTCCTTGGGGGACTGTAAGTGCACATGGTTCCTTTCACGCTTTCGTGTACATGACTACAGGAGGCCGAGGACAGCCTTGTATTTTATTGATATTTGAAATTCTAGAGACCGATACAGGTTACAGCTCGCAAATCTTCGCTGCCCCAGTGACAGACTCGGGAGTCGTGGGCGGGTCTCCGGGTTCCCGCCCTGCAGGACAGCTCCTCTCCTTTTACCCGACTGTGAGTTCCCTGAGGGCAAGTCCGAGTCGGCGTCAGACGCGGCCCAGCACGCGGCTGATGCTCAGGCGGTTTGCAAACGCCTGAATGGACGCGGGAGAAGGGACTGGGCGAGTGAATGGAGGCCCTCACGCGTTCTCCCGCCGAGGCGTCAGTTCCGCGTAGGATTCCGGAGCCGGCGGGAGCGAGTCCTGATTGGACGACGCTGCGGCGCGGGAGCCGGCTTAGCCCCACCCGCGAGGAGGCGGGGCCTGTGGCGCGCGGGAACCGGAGCGCG